TGCAGAGGGGCCTGGGGAGCTCTGGGCTGGCTCTGGTCACTCTCCACCCTCTTTGCAGGCCCTGTGCAACATCCCTGGAGAGGCAGCAGGACCAGCCCAGGGCCCCTGGGGACTCTCTCCCTCCCACAGAGGAAACCCTCCCTAAAGCCCTGTGGAAAACCATCCCCAACTCTTCCCAGGAGAAGGAAGTGCTGTCCCAGGAAAGGGAAGCCAGGCCGCGGGCTCACCTGCTCCCTGTGCTCGCTGCGGAGCAGCCTGGGCAGCCCTGTCAGGCAGGGCCACTGCCAGGAGGAGCAGGAGGAGGAGGCGCAGAGCAAAGGCCATGGTGCCTTGCCCTCTGCCAGTCCTGCAGCTCTTGCTGCCACCACTGTCCTGACACCGCTGTCCCAATGTCAGCACCGCTGCTGCCGCCGCCGCTGCTGCCGCAACAGTCGTGGTCAAGGACTGACTGCTCGGTCCTCGTGGTGCTGTGCAACCACGGGGCTCTGGGACCTCTGTGACCTCAGAGCCTGCTGTCACCTCAGCCTGCTGTCACCCCACAGGCTGCTGTGACCTCATGGCCAGCGTGGAATTGTGTGGGGAGTGGGATCTGCCTTCTTCACCAGGGAGCTCATCCTGCCCAGCAGCTCTGTCCAAGGGCTATGACAGGGTCCCAGCCCAGCTGATCTCACGGGCTAGGGGATGAAGGGATGGAGAGCAGCCCTGCTGAGAAGGACTTGTGGCTGCTGCAAGGAGAGAGGCTGGACATGAGCCAGCCATGTGCCTCCAAAGGAGGCTGCCCAGCAGCTTGAAGGAGGTGATTCCACCACCCCTCTGCTCTGGTGTGAGCCCACCTGGAGTACTGCATCCACCTCTGGGTGCCCAGCACAGAAAGGACATGGTCCTGTTGGAGCTAGTCCAGAGGAGGGACAGAATGCTCTGAGGGCTGGAGCCCCTCTGCTTTGGAGACAGGCTGGGATAGCTGGGGGTGTTCAGCCTGGAAGAGGGAAGGCTCCACGCAGACCTGATTGCTACCTTTCAGTACTTTAAGGGAGCTTTTAGAAAAGACAGGACAGAATTTTTAGTAGGGCCTGTTGTGACAAGACTGAGGGGGAATGTTTTCAATCTAAAAGACAGTAAATTCAGACTAGACCTAATGAAGATGTTTTTTACACTGTGGGTTTTGAAACCCTGGTACAGGTTGCCCAGAGAGGTGGGCATCCATCCCTGCTGACATTCAAGCTCATGCTCTGAGCAACCTGATCCAAAGGTGTCCCTGCTCTCTGCAGGGCACTGCACTAGATGGCCTTTAAATGTCCCTTCCAAGCCAAGCCATTCTGTGCTGCTGTGCACCAGTAGAGCAGTGCTGGAATAATGCTGGGGTGATGATGCTGGCACCTGTGTTTCGGTAGTTGTGCCATTTAGCTGTTGGCCAAGAGAGGATTGATGGGCTGCACAGTGAAGTCTGCAAAGAACAGTGTGCTCAAGGAGAAACAGGAGAGGAACAGGGCTTCCAGCTCAGATAAATGCCAGCATTTTGCTCCCATTCATTGTTAAGAAATAAAGCAATGTTCTGAAGATCCCTTCAGTGTGGGTGCACTATTGGCTGTATCAGTGCTTGTGTTCTGTAAAACAGGTGAGTTGTTACAGCTTCTTGCCCCATTTACCACTGCATAAAACCCAAATACTGCATTGCTCCATGTCTCCTTTCTTCCAAGTAAAGGCAGATTTTGTTCATTCTTCAGTGGGACATATTCATCTGTTGACAAGCAAATTCTTGCCACTCACACAATGTTGATTTGCTCTAATCCGATTATAATTAAGACCGTAATTTATCAGAGTATAATTAAGACCATATAATTAATTGTAATTAAGGCTGATGGATTGTGAGGCAAAGTGTTGCATCATTTGCCCTGGAGAGAGTTTTTCTCTAATTCAATGACATTTGGAGACAGGTGTAGCCTACCATACTTCTGGCATACTAGAAATGAAAAAACAGCCAAGGAAACAGGCTGTTTTATCCTTTCCTCCTCCTCCTTCTCCAAGGTATTTTAATCCCTGAAGTCTGAGCTCTTCAGCTGCCTCACAAACATTGTTTTAATTCACACAGGTATCCATCAGGACAGTGGCTGTGAAGCTTGGAACAATGTAGGTTTAGAGCAGCAAAAATAATAATCCATTTCCCAGGTTAAGCCAAGCATTTCCCAAATAACTCTAGCTATCCTCAGGGATGTTTCCAAAAGTATCACAGTAAATGTTGGGAGTGGGGAGAGAATGTGAACAAAATTAAGAATACAGCTTTCTGAGATCTTTTTATTCCTATATAAACAGAGTCAAAATTGTTTATAGATAGAACATTAACTAAGAAGTGAACAACAGATTGTCAAGATAATTGCTTAGGAATCAAAAATATCTAAATAAAAATAAGTTAACATGTGGATTTATGAGAAAACAATCATACTAAGAAAAAAACCATACCTACCAAATCTAAAAACAACAAGTCTGCCTCATCTGTCTCAATAACAAAAAAAACCAACAAAACACCATTGAAAAGAATCAGATCCTCAAGACCATTACTACATACAGGACCTTCCAGGTAATGGGAATAAACAAAGGAACTTTTGGACAGTTTTTTTTTCTCCTTGGGCTGGGGGAGCTGTCACAGGGAAGGGAGGGTCAGGGGTGGCAGTGGCTGCTCAGGGATGGGTTTGGCCCGTGTCCCTGGAAGGAGCCACTGCCCAAATC